TCCGTGGGCTGTTTTTGTCTGCCTCCCCCCCCCCCCCCAATTGAGTTTCCAGCGATGGTGCATGGTGCAACCACATGTTCGCAGGCCAGAAGCCCCTGCTTGGACTTCCAGCTGGGGGGTGGGGTGGGTGGGTCCTGCTGTTGCAGGAGCCTGCTGGGGCTTCCCCTGGGTCCTACTGCCCCTGGCTCCTGTCATTTTTGACAGGAACCAAGGACAGATAAACATTAATTTTCTACATTTTTAGGGGCCCTGCAGGCCAGATAGAATGGCCTTACGGGCTGTATTTTGCCTACCCCTGCATTACAGCCATGTGCACAGGTGAAGTCAAAACAGGGTACTACCATGTTAAAGTTTAGGTACTCTTGCAGTAAAAATATATGTAGAGGCCTTGTTAATGCTTATTTAGAAACTTCAGACAAAGCCAAACCTGCACTGTAGGTAGATGCTAACATAAAAGTTAAGTGTCTGACCCGTCTGTCTCTCTCTGCTACCTTTTTGAAGCAAGATGCAGAGAGTAACTTGGGGTCACTCTAGTTCTTATAGCAACTAATTCTGTGGTATTACAAAGAGGGTATATTGCTTCTCTGTATTCATGTTTTATATGCAGAGCACTTTAATAAATTAGATTATTTCCTGATTGACCTCACTGAACGTTTGGCTTCTGGGTTTTGGTGTGTGGGGGAGAAATGAGCTTCATTTATGGAAGGTAATCTCTGTTAGGTCACTTCAAATGGGCGTATGTTGACTTAGGTGGAGCTGGGGACTGTAAGTACCCATGAAATGTAATGAGCCTTTATGGATAGGGCTGGGTGCGCCATTGATGACGGATAAATACCCCATGTGGGATAGAAATATGTATGGTAGAAGTTGGTCTTATACCATGCATAAAGATAAATAGGTAATATTGACATATTATAGGTAGATATCCATGTATGTGCTGGGAATCTGTTCAGTAGTGGATTTGCTGGAAGAGTATGTGTGTGTGTGGATTCTGACTGAGGTGGTTATCTCTTAAAAAGAGGAGGTAGTGTTTGTAGGGTGGTAGGCTGAGGCTCCTGCTGGAAACAGGCATGTCGATATGGGGCCATGGGTGATATGAACTACGTAGGAGTTGTTGTAGTCAGCAACTGGTGTGTCATCCTCCTGATTTCCTGTAGGTAGAGAAAGAAATGCCAGCTCAGACTTGTGTAGTAGGTACTGTTGGATCTGCTTGGCATGTGTGGTGACACGAATATAGGTGGCTTCACCAGGTATTTATGAAGTAGGTGTAAGGGGAAGGAGGGTTTTATTTTAAAAGGCTGTTCCAGTTGAGTCTTACGCCAGTATAAGCCCTTTTTCTTGTTCTGAGATGGAACAGTAGACCTCCTTCAGTTAAGTGGATAGCAGCAGTGAATCTGCGCTTGTTTTACCATTGTGAAGCTTTTCTTTGGCCCTATGCTATGGTGATCAGTCCAGCATTTGGATCTAAGAATTCTGGTATTGAAATGCATGAACAACAGAAACAGTTCTGTAGTGGTTCTAGTGGTCTGGGGTCATGGTTTCTCCTCAATCCCCTTGTTCATTCCCAATATAAAACCTTATAGTTCTTTTCATCTTCATAGTTCCCCCTTTTGTATGGATCACTCAACACTTCGAGATATGCAAGAGAGGTGTTAAGGGAGAAATGGAGGCAGAGAGGAATTATTTAGAGCAGGGGTAGGCAATGTTTTTGGCCAGAGTGCCAAAATAACCATAAGGTCTACCTTGTAAGGTGCCGGGGTGCTGGCATGCTAGAAAAACAAAGCCAGGGTGGGGAGTAAATGGCAGGATGCATTGCATATTATTATAGTTAATAATAATAAATTGGGTTTTTTTTACTGTAAATACTAGGTTTTCTAAAAATTCAAAACCTGGTGACAATAAATAAAACTTCATACATTACCTTTGTTCTTGTGTATTCTTTTTTTGTTAAGCATGTTGTGATGAGAAAGAAAAAGGGGGAAAGAGGAAGGGGAGGGGAGAGAGCAGAGAAGAAAAGAAAGAGAAGAAAAAATGGAAAAAGAGAGAGGGCATGTCCTTTGCCACCAACCTCTCCCACCTTGTACTGGCTGCAGCTCGGGCCCACTGGTCCAAGGCAGTGTCCCGCGGAGGGAAGCAGTGACACCCCAGCAGCAGCCACCAGAGCTGGGGCACCCGGGCTTCCTCGATGGTCCCAGAGCACGGGAACCCTGGACCCAGGGCTGGGAGGGAGGGCCTGGCTGGGGCTTAAGCAGATAGATGCCCTGTTCCACCCAGGCAGGGGCAGAACTGGGCCACCAGGTGCTTGGGGCAGGGTCCCGGCAGCATAAGGAGAACCAGGTGCAGAGAGAGGTGTCACAGGCAGGCTGGTCAGCCGGCATAGCTGGCCCTTTGGGAAAGCTGGGGCTGCGTGGGAAGTGGGGACTTCTCTGAGGCTCTGTGGGCTCAGCCACAGCTGGCAGGTGGGTGGGCGGGGGTGCCCAGGAGCACCCAAGGTGGGACCTGGCATGGCCCGCACAGCTCCACAGGGATGGGTCGCAGCCACCCTGCCCATGAGGAGATGCTGCCTGGCTGGGGCAGGACGCCGGGCTTTGGGAGGCTCCCAGGTTTTGGGCTTGGCCTCCCTGTGTGCCAGGCACAGCATGAGTGGGGCGGAGCCACTATGGTGTAAGGGCCCAGCTGTGGGGGTCCCCCAAGGCCTGGGAACAGCTGCCACAGGTAGTGCTTGGGGCCCAGCCAGCCGGGAGCCTGCAATACAGTGGCCCTGTGCAGTGCCTCCATGGAGGGGAGCTGTGGGTGGGCAAGGTTGGGCCAGCTGCTGTGACTGTTCCCAGGGGCTGCGGTGCTCTGGTGGCTGGGCCCACCCCTGCACTGGGGGCAGCTCTGCCTCATTCGCACTGTGCCTGGCATGCAGGGTGGCCGAGCCCAGAACCGGCAGCCCCTTGAGCCCAGCATCCTGCCCCAGTCAGGTGGCGTCCCCTCATGGGCAGGATGGCTGTTTCATTCCTGTGGAGTGGTGTGGGGCAGCCCCGCTTCCTGCCCAGCCCCTGCCTTCCTGAGGGGCCAGTTAGACTGGCCTACCTGCTGCACCTCCCCACACCTGCTTCTCCCTGTGCCCCCTGGACTCTGCCTCTAGTGGCTGGCCCTGGCACTTGGCACACCTGGTGCTCGGCCCCCACCCAGGTGGGATGGGTTGTCTCTCTGCCTGAGTCCCAGGCTTGCCCACCTGCTGGGAGCCTCCAGAGCAGCAGCCCTGTGCACAGTGTCTGCCCTGTCCCAGGCCCAGCCCACCTGCAGCTCCTCTCCCAGGCTGGGCTGGGCTGGAGGGTGCAGCCTGGGGACAGGGGGTGGGGTCAGCAGAATGCAAACGGTGTCCCTGCCTGTGTTCTGAGTCCATCCCCCCGTGCTTGCCATGGCACTGGGAGGGGCCTCTAGATAGGTTTTTTTCTTGCTGTAGATCAGTGAGGAGTTTGAGAGTGTTCATGTAGGTTTTGCTGTTTTGCCCTAAACTTTAACTTTTTTAACAGAACGCTCTTTTTCTCTAAGGCTCTTCTGGGTGGGGATACTAGAGCGGGGATAGTTTGGGAGCTGGAGATCTTGTGACTTCCATCTGGAAATTCTCCCTAAATAGGCATATCAAAATGTTCCTGAATCCAGCCAATCCATATCTAGTGTCTTCCACTTGTAGCCAGTGCAGTATTTTTGCCTTTTTCTACTTGTGCTAATTTGATCAGTGTCTGTCAAGAGTAACATGAATGTTGGAATGCTGTTCTGACTGGGTGATACGTGATGAATTTCTTTGACTTCCCATCACAATGGGAATCCTTTAACATATGATCTTTAAGAGTAAGGAAAAGGGGTTGTTTGTGGATAAATTCCCAGATGGTGGGAGATGACTATTATTTTGACGCCACTGTTAACTACTGTAATTTAATGTTACTAATATGTATGACTGGGAGATGTGAACTCACTCTTTCTCTCTCTCTCTTTCTCTCTCTCTCTCTTCCTCTAGGAGGGCTGCTAACCTGTCACTCTGCTGCTGAACAGCATGCAGTCCTTTCGGGAGCAAAGCAGTTACCACGGAAACCAGCAGAGCTACCCACAGGAAGTGCACGGCACATCCCGGCTGGAAGAATTCAGCCCTCGCCAGCAGGCCCAGATGTTCCAGAGCTTTGGAGGAGGTACTGGCAGTGGACGGCGTGGAGCAGCGGGGACCTCTGCAGCAATGCCCGGTGAGACCTCTGGTCATCAGAGCTACCAAGGTTTCAGGAAAGAAGCAGGAGAATTTTACTACATGGCTTCCAACAAAGATCCTGTGGCAGCAGGAGGACAGCAACCACCTCAGCGCAGGCCATCTGGGCCAGTGCAGAGCTATGGACCACCACAAGGGAGCAGCTTTGGGAGCCAGTATGGAAGCGAGGGGCATGTGGGCCAGTTTCAAACGCAGCACTCAACCCTTGGGGGTGTCTCTCACTATCAGCAGGACTATACTGGACCTTTCTCTCCAGGGAGTACCCAATATCAGCAACAAGCTTCTAGCCAGCAGCAGCAAGTACAGCAACTGAGACAGCAAATCTATCAATCCCATCAGCCCTTACCACAGGCATCTAGCCAACCTGTATCTAGCGCCTCCCATTTGCAGCCAATGCAGCGTCCATCTGCCTTGCCTTCCTCTGCTTCTGGATACCAGTTACGAGTGGGTCAGTTCAGTCAACACTATCAACCCCCTGCTTCTTCCTCCTCCTCTTTTCCTTCCCCCCAGCGTTTTGGCCAGTCGGGACAGAATTATGATGGCAGTTACAGTGTGAATTCTGGTTCACAATATGAAGGCCACGCTGTGGGTTCCAGTGCACAAGCTTATGGAACCCAATCTAATTTTAACTTTCAGTCTCAGCCAATTAAGAGTTTTGAGCAATCTAAGATGCCCCAAGGTGGACAGCAGGGGCAGCAGCAACAGCATCCCTCACAGCATGTAATGCAGTACCCAAATGCCGCTACCAAGCTTTCACTTCAAAGTCAAGTGGGACAGTATAGCCAATCTGAAGTCCCTGTGAGGTCACCGATGCAATTCCATCAGAACTTCAGTCCTATTTCCAACCCGTCTCCAGCTGCCTCTGTAGTTCAGTCTCCAAGCTGCAGCTCCACTCCATCTCCTCTCATGTCAGGTGGAGATAATCTTCAGTGTGGGCAAGGCAACATGTCCATGGGCTCTAGAAATCGGATTTTGCAGATGATGCCTCAGCTCAGCCCAACACCATCCATGATGCCGAGCCCCAATGCTCAAGCTGGGGGCTTCAAGGGATTTGGGTTGGAAGGGTTGCAGGAGAAGAGGCTTACAGATCCAGGTCTGAGCAGCCTAAGTGCTCTAAGCTCTCAAGTTGCTAATCTTCCCAACACAGTCCAGCACATGTTGCTTTCAGATGCCTTGGCACCTCAGAAAAAAGGTTCCAAAAGATCATCATCTTCTAAAAAGGCTGACAGCTGCACAAACTCAGAAGGCTCCTCCCAGGCAGAAGAGCAGCTCAAGTCTCCTCTGGCAGAATCTCTTGATGGTGGCTGCTCCAGCAGTTCAGAGGATCATGGAGAGAGAGTGAGGCAGCTGAGTGGCCAGAGCACTAGTTCAGACACCACTTACAAAGGGGGCAATGTAGAGAGATCCAACTCCTCACCAGCACAAGGCTCTCAGACTGAGCCACCAAAACTCAGTACTAGCCCTGCAGCTAGGGAAGATGTGTCCTCCCCTGATGGAAAGGAAGCCTTGGTAGCAGCAGAGGCTGCCCCAAAAGTGAATGAAAAGGCAGTTGGGGTGATTGTCTCCCGGGAGGCCATGACAGGCAGAGTAGAAAAGTCAGGTGGGCAGGATAAACCCACACAAGATGATGTTTCCACAGCTACCCAAGCAGCTCCTGGGTCCAGTGGATTGAAAGAAACTGGGCAAGTGATGCCACAACCAGAGTCTCAAGGAGGGAGCAAAGGGAGTAAAAGTGGGGATAACAACACTAACCACAATGGAGAGGGTAGCAGCCAGGCTAGTCATACAATCCTGGGGTCAAGTTTTCCTGGTAGAACAGAACCTTCCAAATCTCCTGGCAGTTTAAGATACAGCTATAAGGATAATCTAGGCACTGGCATGCAGAGAAATATTGGTGGCTTTCCTCAGTATCCTTTGAGCCAAGAAAAAGGGGATTTTCCAGGGCATAGTGAGCGAAAGGGGCGGAATGAGAAATTTCCCAGTCTCCTACAGGAAGTTTTGCAGGGGTATCACCATCACCCAGATAGAAGATATGCTAGGAATGCTCAGGACCATCCAGGGATGGCTGGAAGCTTGGAAGGAGCCATGAGGCCCAATGTTCTAATTAGCCAAGCCAATGAATTAACCAACAGAAGCCTTCTAAACAAAACCATGGGATCGCTCCTGGAAAGCCCCCACTGGGGCCCCTGGGATAGGAAATCAAGTGGCACAGCTCCTGAGATGAAACAGATCAATCTGGCTGACTATCCTATTCCTAGAAAGTTTGAGGTGGAGTCACAGTCTTCTGCCCACGAAGGAGGAGCACTGTCAGAGAGGAGGTCTGTTATCTGTGACATATCTCCACTAAGACAACTGGTTAGGGACCCTGGGCCTCACCCAATTGGGCACATGGGTCCTGAGGCCAGAAGTGGAAGAGGTGAGCGGCTCACTCCTGGTTTAGGCCAGTCAGTCATACTCCCTGGTGGCCTGGTATCCATGGAAACAAAGTTGAAGTCTCATAGTGGGCAAATAAAAGAGGAAGATTTTGAGCAGTCAAAGACCTCAGTCAGTCTCAACAGCAAGAAATCTGGTGATCACTGTCATCCTCCCAGCATCAAACATGAATCTTTCCGAGGCAATGCCAGCCCTGGAGCTGCAGTCTCTGATGTTACTTCAGACTACATCTCCCAGCAAGAGAGCAGGTCAACACAAATGAGGCGAGCCCCTGGCAGAATTGGAAGCGGCAGGGAAGGTATGAGGGGAAAATCGCCTTCGCAGTTTCAGGATCTGGCTGATAAACTGAAGATGTCACCAGGCAGAAGCAGAGGCCCAGGAACAGATCTCCACCACATGAACCCCCACATGACACTGGCTGAGAGGGTCAGCAGGGGTTCTTTACACTCTCCGTTCGCTCAGAACTCTGAAGGTCCATCTTTGGCTTCGGCATATCATGCAAACGCTAGGGCTCATGCTTTTGGTGACCCCAACCAGAGTTTGAATTCCCAGTATCATTACAAAAGGCAGATATACCAGCAACAGCAAGATGAATACAAAGAGTGGAGCAGCAGTGCTGCTCAGGGTGTGATTGCTGCAGCTCAGCATAGACAAGAAGGGGCAAGGAAGAGCCCAAGGCAACAGCAGTTCCTTGACCGAGTAAGAAGTCCGTTGAAAAATGACAAGGATGGAATGATGTACATCCAGGCCAGCTCTTACCTTGATGCCGGAGGTCAAGAAACTGGGCGCTGTGTCATGGGCAGTGATGGTGCTCAAAACAAGTGCACCGAATTAAAACATGGTAACCAGAAGATGCAGCAACAGGAATCTGGTTGGGATCTGTCCCGGCAGACCTCTCCAGCCAAGAGCAGTGGTCCTCTAGGAGCAGCCAATCAAAAAAGGTTTTGCCCTCCTGATGGTGATGGGCACAGGCGAGAAGAATCTACAGATTTGCCGAAGCCGAGTAATGCCATGATGAGGCTCCCTGGCCAAGAAGATCAGTCTCCTCAAAATCCTTTAATTATGAGGAGAAGGGTCCGTTCTTTCATCTCTCCTATTCCTAGCAAAAGGCAGTCACAGGATGCAAAGAATAGTGGTACAGACGATAAGGGGCGACTGCTTCCTTCATCAAAGGAAGGAACTGACAAAGCATTCAACTCTTATGCCCACTCATCTCAAGGCCAGGATGCTGGGAAGTCACTGTCAAAGGGAGATCCTTCCAAAGATCTTCCTATTCCTGACAACAGGAATTGCCCTGCTGTTTCTCTTACAAGTCCGGCTAAGACCAAAATATTGCCTCCACGGAAGGGGCGGGGATTAAAACTGGAAGCTATTGTTCAAAAAATTACATCCCCCAACATCAGGAGAAGTGTTTCCTCCAACAATGCTGAAACCGGTGCAGATGCTGTCACTCTTGATGACATCCTTTCCCTCAAGAGTGGACCTGAAGGTGGCAGTGTGACAAGTCATGGATCAGAAACTGAGAAGAGAAAAGGAGAGACTGCATCAGATCAAATGGGGACAGTGGGCCAAGAAATGGTGGGTGAAATGTCTCTATCCAGACCAGAAGAGTGGCATGGCAGTGAAAATGATAAGGTCAAAAAGGAGACATCTGAAGTAGCTAGTGTTAGTAAAGAAGGATCAGGGACTACTGTGGCCCCACCATCTTTGCAGAAGTCTGGTATACAAGGAAGATCTGATGCTTCTATAAGTGGAGCTGGAACTCTGACCTTTTCTGACTCAAAAACAGTCTCTCCTTCTAATGTGTTTACTTCTGAATTGAACCCAAAGTCTGAAGAAAAAGACGGAGACGTTACAAACATTTCGCCCAAGCCAGATGGCTTCCCTCCAAAGGGATATTTTCCCTCTGGAAAGAAAAAGGGGAGGCCCATTGGTAGCGTGAACAAGCAGAAGAAGCAGCAGCAGCAACAGCAACAACAGCAGCCGCTGCCGCCGCCTCCACCACCACAGCCACCATCCCAGTCATCAGAAGGTGCAGGTGGTGGAGAGCCAAAACCTAAGAGACAAAGGAGGGAGCGGAGGAAACCTGCAGCACAGCCAAGAAAAAGGAAAACTAGACGGGCCGCTCCCATTGTGGAGCCTCAAGAACCAGAGATCAAGCTGAAATATGCCACCCAATCTGTAGATAAAACTGACAACAAGAACAAGTCCTTTTTCCCTTATATTCATGTGGTAAACAAGTGTGAATTAGGTGCAGTGTGCACAATCATTAATGCTGAAGAAGAGGAGCAGAACAAGTTGGTGAGGGGTCGAAAGGGGCAGAGGTCCTCAACTCCCCCTCCTAGCAACACTGAGAGCAAAGTGCTGCCCACCTCGACTTTCATGCTGCAGGGCCCAGTAGTAACAGAGTCTTCTGTTTTGGGGCATCTGGTTTGCTGCCTGTGTGGCAAGTGGGCCAGCTATCGCAACATGGGCGACCTCTTTGGGCCTTTCTATCCCCAGGATTATGCCGCTACACTGCCCAAAAACCCACCTCCCAAGAGGGCCACAGAAATGCAGAGCAAGGTCAAGGTACGGCACAAAAGTGCTTCTAATGGCTCCAAGACCGATACAGAAGAGGAAGAAGAACAGCAACAACAGAAGGAACAAAGAAGCCTGGCTGCCCATCCCCGCTTTAAGAGGCGGCACCGCTCTGAGGACTGTGGTGGGGCCTCTCGGTCACTTTCAAGGGGAGCTTCTTGTAAAAAAGCAACCACTGAGGGTGTCAGTGGCAGTGAAAAGACTCCTTTGGACTCAAAACCCCTGATGCCCACTTCAGAAGGTGGCTCTGAGCTGGAGTTACAAATTCCTGAACTACCTCTTGACAGCAATGAATTTTGGGTCCACGAGGGTTGTATTCTCTGGGCCAATGGGATCTACCTGGTCTGCGGCAGGCTGTATGGGCTGCAGGAAGCTGTGGAAATAGCAAGAGAGATGGTGAGTGCCAGAATTTACTAAGCATTGATGCATGCAGTGTTTTATCTTTTGCAGCCAACTTAAGTCTGTTTTTCAAGCCATCGTTTTATCAATATGAGGGATCTTGAAGAACACCCTTTTGGTGGAGGGTAAAAATTCTAGTCTAGTTAAGTTTGGACTGAGATTTTTTTTTTAAAGCTATCTAGGAAATGTAGATGCACGTTATCTGTTATGAGGTATTGATTAACTCCATAGTAAATGCCATCATCTTTTAATATGCATATACCATTCTGGCCAAGTTATAAGATCATGAGAATGTTGGGTAAGGTACAGTGGATAAATCCTAAGAAACCAGTTACTCAGGGTCCTCTGGCTATAGGTAATGGCAAATCTTGCAATAACAAGGGGGAAGAAGCTGAGACCTTCAAGCCAGGCTAAAATTGCTGTAGCACACTGCAGTTCCCTTTTTGGCACCATCACAACATCTGCAACATTCTCTTCCCTCCCCCCCCCCCTTGCTTTTGTAGAGACCCATAACTCATTGTCTTGCTTTGCTTCTTCAGCTAACCTTTCCATTTCTGCTCCCTACTCTGGATCAGACCACATAGGCAGAGTTGGACTTCTTCCTAACTCCTGCTGCTTCAAATTCCTGCCTCCCTCTTTTGAATACTACTATGTTGTCTCTTTACATATCTTCCTTTTGCTGCTGACATATACCATTTCCCTGGCTCCTCCTGATAAACTTTTTCTCTGTGATGATACTTTTGACTTCTGGGGCACTCTAATTCTTTCCTTAGTCTCCCGGTCATCATCTGTGACTTCAGCATCCACATTAATGACCTATCTACCCCCCTAATTGCATGTTTCTTTGCTTTCACATCTTCGTTTGACCTGCAGCCTTGCTTCTACTCTCTCCCACTCATCAAATGTGTGTTTCTCTTACTTCATTGAATGCTACTTGTATGCAGGCCTTCCACTGTGCTGAGGTCCTCCTTTCTGACCATCCCCTCATCTCTTTCAGCATCTCCAAACAGCCTATTGTGTACAATTACCCATCTGCCTTTGTCACGTTTAGTTTATCAGCATGAATGCCTTCTTGTCTACTCTTAGCCTTCTCCCTGCCTATTTCCCATTTTTCTAGTGCTGGCTTCTTGATTCTCACCATGATCCACTTTTCTACATCTATAACTCTTTCCTCTTTCTTATTGTGAGGTCCTCTCTACCAATCCCCAGCCTTAACTCATCCCAGCATCTTTCCTCCTTTTGGGATACAGGTCTTGGAAAGAAATCCCTGGACTCAGTTGATTTCCTTCACCACATAATTGCTCTTTCCTTCAGTTTTGTTGTTTTCCCAACTAAACTGCTTTACTACTCATGTCCACAATCTTGGATCCTCTGGTCCACAAATCTCATGTCTGCCATCCTAGATGTGTTTTTGTTGTCTTTGATGTTACTTTCCCCGTCTTACAACCCTCTTCTTACCTGTTATAGACCAAAAGACTTCCCTTCTACTTTCTTCCTCAGAACTCTCCAACCAGTCCCATCTTTTGATCTTCCTGTGCCCTGTTCTTGGGTAATCGTGTCCACAGACGCATTTGGTCACTATCTCAGTGTTGATAACTTACAAAATTGCCTTTCATCTGCAGACATATGTCCTTCTGTTTAAATTTTGTTTGGACTCTGACATCTCCTTATGGATGTTAGGAGGATGTCCTTTCGCAGCATCTGATGAAGTGAACTACAGCTCATGAAAGCTTGTGGGGGTGCGTGTGTGTAATACTCTCACAAAGCAGCATATATTCTGCTTTGGTTGGTCTATAAGGTGCGAATCTGTTCTGCCCTCTATTTTCTCATGCACGTTAGATGGTCATCTCAAGGTCAACACAGCTTTCTTTGCTCTGCACAGTTTTTGCTCTGTGAAGAACGCGGCTATTTTGTTTGTCACCTGGAGTCATAAACTGGGCATAATTTTCTGGCCAGATCTCTCTAGGTTGTGGCATCTAGATTGAATGTAAATCTTGCCAATTCCAACTGCATAACATTGCTAAGACATGGCCTATCATTATCCATCCACATAAATAACACGTTCATCCAGGCTTATCCTTTCATGTTTTGATTACTACAACATCCTTTTCTCTGGCTTTGCTCTGCTGGTACCTGTTCAGAACACTACTCCTTGCCAGTCATTTTGACCACATCACTATTCTTTGCATTTTTCACTGTATCTTCCTTCTTTATTGCATGACACTTCATTTGCAGTGCCCTTCACTAACTGTGCCTACCTTGTCTATCATCTGTTATTTTCTAGACTGAAAACAGATGTAGCACTTGTCCTGGGATATAATGGTTTATCCCAGTATAAAGTGCAATTGTGGAAACATCCATGATCATTGTGCCAGGATAAATCCTAAAAATGTTTCCTGGATAAAAGGTAGTAACTGTTTATCCCAGGATATTGTAAAGTATGTCTGTACAGTTATCCTTGCATCATTGAATCAATGGCAAAAAAGTGGTACTGCATTCAGCCATTCACTAAACCCTGGTTAGAAGGGCGATGTGTGTACATGCCAGTCCTGGGATATTTTTGTTTTGGAATAAATACAGGCACAGCTTATCCAGGGACAAATGCAGTGTCTGTTCCTAGCTCTATTGAAATAAAATCTCTGCTATTATTGTTCCTTTGTTCAGTTTTCAAACAAACACCTTACTGCTTTGCCCCATGCAGTCTCTTGTGTTTTAGAAGAGTTCTTTAAACACCTGCATTGCTACCTTCTTACAACTTTCCTTGCTGTACTATCCATGGAAAACTTGAAAGTGGTTAGGCTGCTGATACCCTGATATCACTCCCTGGCATCCTGATTTGTGTGCCTTTTTTGTCCTTTGTTTCTCTCCCATTGGTCTGCCTGGTATGAGACTATTGCCTTTTGTCATTATTTGATTTGTAAGTTCTTTGGGGCAGGGGACTGTCTCTTTTTTTGCTTCTGCGTTTTATATGGTGCCTAGCATGATGTGTCCCTAGCCCATTTCTAGGCTTCTTGGTTTTATGGTAATACATATAACAAACCTTGCCCCTTAACACTATTGCCATTTCTAGGATATTTTGTTTTCCTTAGCAATGTTAGTTTTTAACCTTTTATCTTGGCATAGTGAAGTCTGTAATGCTAAATGCTTCTGTGGAAGCAATCTGTCCTCTTCCATTCAGTAAGGAAATGGTTACATTTAACATGAGAGTTATACCAGCCACAGGCGATCCTCAGGCATTGGAAAGGCTCAGTTGAACTAGACTTTATTTTACCTTGCTGCCTGAGGATAGCCTCCCAGCCCAAGCAACTCTCATCTTAATTCCATGCCTGGTGCATGCAATCTTTCTTCCCTCCTCCTTGCTCTGCCAATGTATTTTCTTACTGTCACCTCTGACGTCCAACTCATCATTATTAGGGTGCTGGAAAAGGTAAACATTTGCAAGCCATCTTGCTGTTTTCAAGCAGGAGAGAGGAAGATAGATATGAGTGCATGTTCAGGGGCTTGCTTTCAGATCCAAACTGTGTTTTTTACCTTCCATATGACAATGTCATGTTTAAGGTCATGAGCCTCTCTGAAAGGAGTAATTCATGTCCATGCCACGTTGTATGTCATTGTGCTATTTCTGTACCCTAAAATCCTGATGGCCAGAGGGGACACAATCTATTTAACTTTTAGATGTTATAAAAATAGGTTTGTCTATGTGGAACAAAGGCTTAGATTAACAGAAACTTTGTGTGAGTTTTTTTTTTTGAGCTTGCTTTAAAAAGGTTTCATCCTTCTTGTCACTTTATAACAGTGGAGGCCAACTTTTTTGGCAGACATGCCACAAATTAGCCTTGTACCCTTAGAGTGGCACTATGATCCCCTTTCCAGTCTGCTTTCTGCTTCCTGCCCTATAATCCCTGTCTGGTCTGCTGCTCTGCTTCCTGCCCTTTCTGCCAGGGACTATGCTGCGCTTCCCTCTCCTGATCTGCTGTGCAGCTCACACAGTAGCTTATGTGCCACTTGTGCCACAGGTTGGTCACCTCTAGTTTATAAAATACCTTCCTGTAGAAGTGACAGTCTTGGCCTTGGTGACATGAACTGTTTTTAATGTAGTATAATTCCTCAAACTGTATTCCAGAGACTAAAGGTTACAGCAGTCTGTCTCTCTGTCTCTCTCCTTTTGCATCCAAGTAGTCACTAGACCAGGGGTCGGCAATTATTTTGGGTGGAGGGCCGCTTACTGAGTTTTGGCAAGCCATCGAGCACTGCATGATAGGCAGCCAGGGGCAGATAAATATTAATTTTCCAAATTTTTTAGGTGCTCCGCGGGCCAAATAGAATGGCTTGGAGGGCCGTATTTTGCCCACCCTTGTACTAAACCAACGCTTTTCTCCACTATACCATAGGTTAGGATGGGATTTTTCAAAAGTTGCAAACTTGTTGTGGCACAGGTTCACTTTCTCATTAAGTGAGATTTGGGCTTCTGAGTTATTTAGGTGCCGTCAGAAATGTCAGCCTTATTCTGCTCTGTAAATAGCTTTTAGAGTAAAAATACAAAGGTATAAATCCTTTAATATTTTTGGTAGTTTTGATAGTCTGCAGTCGTGTCTTTTCTGACTTGCCTATATTTTTATATGTTATAGTGGTCTGGTGAGGAATCTACCATTCAACAGGTGTTTCTTCTTGTTCTGCTCAATGGGCTGTTTCTCGCAAATGTGTGCGCCTACACTTAAGGGGAAGAACGCTCCGCCAGAAGCTTCAATATCTGTCTTTTCTCAAAGAAGCCTCTGGACAGTAGTTATAAGAGTCTGTCTCTAGAATCTAGTCATATGTAAAAGAGATTCTGGAAGCATATGGGTTCAAGTCTTCCCTTTAAAAAGGTTTTGCCAAACTATGAAGTAAGCTTCCTTCAAAGTTTGCTCATGTTTCATCAGTCTAGATGCAGTCAAGGCATCCATTAAGTAGCTTTCCAAATGGCTTCCATAGCCTTTGAATCTGCACTTAAAAAGGAT